AATGTGAAGCCTACATCTGAACTTCATATTTTGCCTTGTGTAGTTTCCAATTTTAAATTGCTGAAGTACAAAAAAAAACCTCAGGAGATGCTATTTTTGTGTTTAATTTTCCAAATCAAAGTAGTACAAGGAAATCTTGGTGCGTTAATGATAGGTTTCTAATCCACACTTCCTAAGGATTGCTCCTTCGTAATTTGTAGTCTTCTAAATTATTGACTTAGAGTGACTTTTTTAATGAGCAAAGTTGGAAGGACTTGTATATTCAGCTGGTAAATTCTGGTGTGAGTTATTCTACATTGCTTTGCCAGTTTATTCAGCTTAACCTCTGAGAATCCATTTATTACAGTACTGAAGATCTTTCAGACGTAGGCTGTTTGAGTGCTAATTGCTAAAACAGGACTAAAGAGAAATGCTGGTATAATACTTGAAAGCTGGCCTTTGATTTTCATCTAGGATGGGCAAAAATATTTTCCAGGACTTTGAGGGTTGGATTTGACAAAATACATCCACACATGAAAGACTTTATTTAGAAGTTTTTATCTTAAAGCCATTACTGTACATGTAGCTTATAAATGAGCTATGCTGAGAAGCTGTTTAACTCTCAGCATGGTGGAGTCAGCCTTGGTTTGGCCACTACAGTGGCCAGTTCTTTAACATTAACATTGCAGTGACTGGTCACTCCATCATTTTATTTGCATGTTCTGCTGTCACCATTCCTGCTTAATGTTTATGCAAGAAGTAAAATATGAAAACATGCTGCTTTCACCAGTGTGTGTGTGTGTGTATGTGTATATGTATGTATTTAACTTCTAGAAGAAAGTATATAGAACATTTAGGCAGACATGGATTTAGAATTTTTTTAGTTCATTTAAAATCTGGGATTTTATTCTGCATTTGGGGGTTTATGTTTTAATTCTTCCTTGAATAGTGCCTGAACTGTTTTAATTCAGTGTCTTGTTTCAATAATGATAGAAATTCTCAGCACTTTGCTATTACACAGCACTGCTAATGATTGAGGGGGAAAAATGTTCTCTTTTAGTCTACTCTTTCATAACTTGTCATCAAAAGATGAAAGCCTTCCTGTGATACCTGTTCCTGGATTAGATTGCCAGGTCAGAATTGATAATTTTTTAACTTTTTTAAAACAACTTTTTCAACTTTTTCCCCAAAAGATTTTACTTTGTCTCCATTTCTCCATGTTTAAAAAGCTCTCATTTTCTGTAACATGTAGTATAAGATCTCATGTGGAGGGTGCAAACTGGCTGTTGTTGAAGGAATTCTGGAGCCTCTTTGTCTTCAAAAATCCCCAACCAATGAATTTCAGGCTGGAGTGGAGAGGGAATTATTCTGAATTTGTACATGGTGTGTCAAATGCCATAGTTAAATATCTCTTGGTTTTTGTACAGCTTTTACTAATATACTTTGAATAATAAGTAAATAGATGAAAGTGTCTAATGAGATGCAGGCTTCTTAAGAAGAGATAGTCTTTTGTATGCTGTGTGCAACTATCACAGCATATATACTGTAGCTGCTTCTGTAGAGGATTTCCCCTTAGGAAATGTTGAAAAAGGCTTTAGGGAAAAGTTGTTTGATTTATACAAATAAACAAAAAACACCCAGAGATTTATCTGCACACCCAGAACGAAGCATCCAAGGTTACCTTTAGCCATTACTTCTGCAAGTAAATCTTTTAATCCATGTAGATGTAATGAGAATGAGTAAATTTAATCTTGTCATACGGTTATAATATCTATCTGGATTAGGCATGGAATCATGCCAGTGTTACTGTCAATGCCATTATGACTGACTCAGGACAACCAGCTGATCCCAAGACTGCTTGAAGAACCAAAAAGCTTTTTAAAAGTGTGTTCCCATGTTTTCTGTTGCCCAGATTTCTTTCTTTTGGCTTAAATTCACTTTCTGAACGTTTCTGTATACGAACAGAAATTCTTTCAGCACAACCTTTTATCCTTTTTGGTCTATACTTTGTCCCATCAGTATTGCCAGAACTATATCCTTCTGCTTTTAGCCAAGAAACAGTAGGAAGGGATAAAAATGAAATCATTATTAGGTGTTCTTTTGTATACCGAGAAGCGCACTAAGAAAATGAGAGCTCACTTACATGCAAGTTAAAACTAAATATTTACATACACACCCATGCTCTAGTTGAATGCCTGGAAAGCACCAGGTAACCAGAAATATGGATGCTTAAACATTTTGTACAATAAAATCAAAACTATAATGGCTTAAAGCAGGTTATGAAAAGATGAAGGTAAAATCATCACGACCACGTACAATCTTTTTGTGTAAGTTTGGTTACCCTTCCTACATGTCCAGTCTTGCTCAGTTTTGTCCGCACTTCCTAACTTCATCAGTAACCTGTCACATAGGCACTGTCTGTAATATGGCTGTCATACAGAATACAGAAATCCCAATGTACTCAGTATTTGAATGTATTTGATTTGTTGTAGATGTTCATCTGAGTCAAACCAGACAATGCAGAAAAGGGTGGTTTCTTTATAAATACTCAGTATGCCTTACATCATTTTACATCTGGTCAGTAGAAATTCTTATCTGCTCTTCTGCAAAGCTGGACCATCACCCCCACAAGTAGCATTTGGATTCTTTTTATCAATAGTAAGGGTTGAGGAACAAAATACAAATTATCCTATTTTATGATTTGCATTTAGTTAGTGATGCTTTGTGTGTCATTAAACCTGCATAAGATTAAATAAAAAATTATGTTAAAAGACATATTTTGAAACATCGTAAAAGGATATTAATTCAGTAATTAATGTGGTAGATAATAACAGCCTTTCCATTTCCAGCTCTATCTGTACAAGAGTTCATTGCTTTTGCTGCTCTCCTTCACTGTAGTGGTTAGGAAATTTAGTCACAGCATCAGACTGAACAGAAAATGGGTTTGTTTTGGGTTGTTTTTATTTCAGTCAGAGTGCAGGTTAGTATTTCCAGTGCTTTATATTGCTAGAGAGCACTACTAGACATACTTTTATGGCCTGGATTAAGGAAATGGGATAAATTGCTTTAAAATTAGCGTAGCTATAACAATTTCATTTGATGTAAATAGTTTTAGGGGAATCATTAAAGATGTCAGGGCTTTCAGCAACTCTGATAAATTATTAAATTTAATGTATAGAGTGGATTGCAGGAGCAAAGAGTGAAATGCTTGAGGGAGACGTTCCCCTACCATGTTAATGAAATATACAGTGGAATAGCAGCAGCCATTGCTGATGCTGGGTTTGAAAGGGCACTGGAGAGAGTAACTAATGTTGTAGTTTGTGTTTTGTATGTTGTACATGACAACAAATGGTAATTTGAATTTCTTTATGAAATGGGGGAGGATGTAGTGCACATATAAAACATTAGGACTAAATCTGGCAGTGTAATTGTTCCCAAAGGTAACAAAGACAAAGATTTTGCTCGAGAATATGGTGATCTGTTGTTTCTCCCTTTGAGCACCTGCCCTCTAGTAATCACCAGCTAACTTGGCAGTTCAGGACCTTTCTCTCATTTTGCTGCAAATACCTGTGGGGAAGGGATTACTTACTTAACATTAGTGATTTGGTAGCTAATTGACAGCTTTGTTTTTTTCCTCATATGCATCTATTTTTCTTCTTTGCCTTCTGTTAGCAAAACGTGTGCAATCTTCTAAACTGAAATATACTTCTAAACTGAGTAGATTTCCAGTTAGTTTTAGTTTAGGCTACTTTTTGTGTTGCATACACTTCAGTCTTTCTTATTGCTAGAGATTTAAAATTGAAAGACTTGATGGTTGGGAAATTCCCTAAACTCATCTGATAGAGTAGTGTAAAAAGACTTAAATAAAGAAACAATTCTGTTAATATTAAGATCCTTAGAGTTTTTAGCAGGACTGTTTTCAAAAGGCTGAGCAAACACAAACCCAAGAATAGTTTAAGGACCACTGACCTGAAAGACTGTTGCTTGGCTCTTCCCTAATCCTATTAAATACAAGTTCTAGTAAAATAAGATTCTCGCATGGTTTAAAATGAAGGAAGCACATTGTGGGTTAAAGAGCACTGTTATTTCTCTCTATATACGTTTTGAGTGGTGGGGAGTGGAGATTGAGGTCTTCTGTTGTACTACAGGAGGTAAAAGGATGCTTTAGTTATGTCCAAAAGAGAAATTCAAAGATTCTGAAATAATTCTAAAGTTAAAATATTCTATTTGTTGTTGTCCCAAATAAGAAGAAATTTAGTTTTGAATATGTATGAGTTCTTCTTTTTCTCATTTGTTTCCTTACGTTTTCTGATTTTCTTCTTGAAACATTATTTTATATTTTATTTTTTGCTATATCTCCTTGAATCCTTCTAAGTATCTGTACAATTATTCCAATTTGTTGTTACACTTTGTTAAAACAGCTCACCCCATTTTAACAATTGCATTCAGAATGTTTGTCTCTTACAAGGACTTCTAGTAAATATAAGCTTTCTGTTGTTCCTCTGTACTACAATAATTCCAACTCTTCTGAAAAAATCCCTACGGAATTGTGGGGTTTTCTGCTCTAAAGTTATATCCTCTTCTCATTAATACTTGATCAGATTCTGGCAGACTATAAAATACTGCTAAACATCAGTTGATTTTGACAGTCACAATTATATAACTTCTTAAAAGCAATTCAGACCCACTCATTTTGTTTAGTGGTACATTTTAATCCAGTTTATCACATAAGATACTATGCATATATAAAATAGCCATTCCTTGAAGATTCCAAAAGAGTCTGGAAGGTACTTTCTTTACTAGAAGTCACTATGCTAAAACCAAATTTTCTATACAGCTTCTATATGTTTCTTTTATTTTTCCACTCTTAAGTGTTCTTAGATATTTCTTAATGATTATTTTTGCTTTCTAATGAGTATACTGGCATGAATAATGTTGCAGCAGTTCTTAAAAGTTTTCAGCTCTGATTGATTTTCCCTTTCAAAGTAAGTTGGGATAGTTCCTTAATAGTCATTTTTTAAGTATAAAATCCTTCTGGATTCTGATGATGGAGAATATGGAGGGCATCAAAGGCTGGACCACAGTACAGAGTACTTCTCTGAAGAATATCCTCATAATTATCGACCTAATTCACTTATGGTAAGTAAGATTTCTTTGTTTCATCTGGATATTTTTTTTCTGAGACAAATATGGATTCTATTCTAAGAGAATTTGGAGGGTGGTATTTTCTGAAATTAGCCTTTGTGTCAATACAGTAGAGATGACAATGTTAAGTTTTGATTATGGCCTATAATGTTAACTGATATTTCTCTTTTGACATTGCATTTAAATTTGCATGCTTTCCTGAAGTATCTGGCACAGAGAGTTCCTTGCCAACAGGCATGAAAACCTTCTGATGTGCTTTTGCATTATCATTTTTAATATCATTTGCTTTATTTTCATGTCTGAGAGACTCCATCTACATGCTTGCTTTGTTATTTAAAGCTCTGTAGAAACTGAATCTCATGTTGCTTTCTTAAAATTATTTGCTCAATTCCACAAACATGAATTAAAGCAAGTCATCCATTTCCCAACTGTTTTTCTTCTCAGATTACAGAAAAACTTTGCAAAATGTCAGACCTTCTCTGTTCACATCAAGAGGTTCAAGAATTTCCAGTCCTAAAGTGTTATGAATAACAGATAAGCACTTTCCCACAGATGAAGTGGGAGGTATATCCTTGTGTGTAGGCCCCCTTTAGATATCAGAAGGCTTTTGCAAGGTCTTCCCTGAGCATTCTCTTCTCCAGGCAGAACACGCCCAACTCTCTCAGCCCGTCTTAATAGAAGTGCTTTAGCCTTCTAATATATCTAATACATCTGTGTATGCCTTTCTTACTCTGTTTCGTTGTATTCAGGGTGTTGGCATTTCTCTCATTAGCTTGTTTGAAAACAGTTTCCTTACATGACATAATTCTTGTGCTTTCATCATGCTTGTAAAGGATCTCGGGACTTTTTTTTTAAGTACCTGTGTGTCACAATGACTTCATAGTGTGGCTAAGTATCTATGCTCATTTGCACACAAAGAAACCAAGGCTCTAAGGTTTCATTGCTGAAGGTTATTTAGCAAATTAATGCTTCTAGAATTCTTGCTTTCTGTGTCCAATTCAAATACCTTGGTTTGATGATTGGAGAGCATCGTAATTATCTACCAGTAGTTTAACTTTTGCAAGCCAATTTAACTGTAATATGGAATGTGTATTTCATTTAGACTCTTAGATGGTTTGCACCAGTCACTCGAGACAGAAGAAAATGTGACAAAATGTGAAGATGCAGTTTGCTAAGAGCATGTGGAAGATAAGGCATGTGACAAGCAAAGCAGCAAATGCACTTTTACAGCATAGGCTGTGGCATGACAGTGACACTGTTGGGTCAGAAAGAAAGCTGGCAGCATGGGTCACGTTACCTTTCTTGCATATCCTTCAGCAATCCAATTCATAGACCACCTTCAGCCAACACCCCAGAAGATGCCACAAATTCTACATAGAAGTAAAATGCTAGTAAAGGACACCAAGTAAAAGACACCTATGAAGCCATCACAATAAAGACATAATGGTCCTTTTCCTACTATTTAACAGTTACTTTATTCTCTTTCGATGATGCATGAGATATGAGTTTCTTGTTACAAAAATTTTAGTTCCTCCTCCACCACAAACTTCAAACAAGTATTTTTTTGATGACAGATGCACCTCCCTTAAAGTGTGTCAGCAAAATGTGCCGAGAGGGCTATGACAAAACAAAATCACATGCAATAATTCTGCTGCTCAAGTCAAGCTTAAATAGCGCACAAATATGTTACAAAAATAGAAGATTAGGTGTGACATTATTCATTTTAGAACCATCACCTAATAAAACAAATGTTCAAAGTGACATTGCAAAATGAGAAGAAGTGAGATACGAAATTCCTGGAGCAAAGAATCCTGGATGAAGAGGGAGCTTTGTAAGCAGTGTAAAGTAGGCATTTCACTGTAAAATTTTGTTGATAAACAGATGATTCAGGTTTGTTTAGTAATGCTGTAGAGGGCCGGATTTCAAACTCATCAGACATACCTTGAAAACTCCATAGAAAAAACGTCCTTTGTAATATGAATAATTTAAATCGTAATTTTAATCTAATTTCTCCATTTCACTGCTTGCTCTGTTTTGTAATTTAACAAATATATGAAATGTACATAACATTCCACATAATCAGACTTCCTCATAACAAGCTGTTAACCACTTTGTCATTGTGAAAATAGACTTTTCCCTGCAGTTTTATTTCTGTTTACATCTGTATGTGGTTTTCTTATAATAGGGGGGAGAAGGTTGAGGTCCATTTTATAAAAGCTGTGTGCTTTTACAACCCTTCTATAACCTTTTAGTTTTGTTTATATTTTACCATCTCTTTGCAAGATGTAAATTAAGTGCTCCACACACATTTCAACTCATGTCAAATCCTGGTGCCCCTTTATGTACCAAGTCATTTCTTGATACCTTATTTACTGGTTGTAGTTGGATGTGAAGTTTAAATTCCAGGTGGGAGGGGAAAAAAAATAACCATTTTTAATAACACTTGTAATTTGAGATATTTTGTCAGTATTTTCTAAGGCATCCAAATTGAATTTTACTGTAAAATGGAACTAAAGATCAATGTGTGTCCCAGTAACTTTCATATTTCTGTACCACACCGAAAGTTAGAATTTATATGAAAACGGTGGGATTTATACTTTGATACTTTATACCCCAACTGAACTGATTAATAAGCAGGAATATTGCAGTGTGTTGTGTCATTGGCAAAGTAGTATGCAGTTTACTGGAAAATGTAATTGTTTAACACATTTCAGCTTTTTTACTTTTTCTGTAGTTCTTTCTAGTTAGTTGAAAAACAAATAGATGTCAAAGCATTCCTTTCCCCCGTCCCCAGTATAGCTTTTTTTGATTCTCTATTTTGACATCTACTGACATAGTCTTTTCACATTAAATGAAATTGAAATTATATATAGCTTATTTTAAGAACATCCTTATTACTGGGTCTGGGTTTTAACCTTGACCTTAACGTATGTTATTCAATGTCAAAGTGCAACTTCCTGCTTCCTTGAGTCTATTGACAAATTAAAATACTTTCATCCTCTGAGATGATCTAAAAGCTTTTAGTGACCTTAGCTTTGAAAATCCTCATTTGAATAACTTTCATGATAAGGACTTATGTATTGAATTTTAAAGGACTGACGTAGTCTTTAACTGTTTTCTCTCCTGACATGCACAGATATACAGGTTATATGAAGGTATATATGTAGCTAGAAGATGAACTGTTTTAACTAGGGGACTCGTTAAGACTTTAATACCAGCAAGGCCTTTTCTTATTTTTACCTCTTGATGATTAAGACTTAAGAATTCATTTGCTTGTATTCATTGATTGTTTGACTTCTTAAAGCCACAAGCAAGTGTAATGATTCTAAAGTTATCCTGTTAATAATTTTCTTTCATCCTGTCTTCTATTTTAGTTAACTTTGACAGGGGGTTCTGTTGTCTTTCTAAAATACTCTTTCTTAACCTGAAAAAAGATTGCAGAACATAATAGAGAAGAAATTTTGAGATACAGCCTGTGTAGTACATGGATGTCTTTTGCATAAATGAAGCAAGACAGTCTGAGAAATTATTTTCTGCATATTCATGCTATACAGCTGTAAATTGAAAAGCAACCTGGAAGGCAGAACTTCACATTATTTTGAGCATACCTTCTTTCTCATATGCAATATCTAGCAAAATAAAAACCCAAGTATCTGAGGTTTTGTGTAACAGATTAGTCAGAAAGCAAAAATATCTTGTATTTTATGCATTGATGGTTAATTATATTCTCAGAATAGTCAGTGCCTGACAATTAGTAGTGATACAGAGACAAGAGGTTGTCTAAAGCCCTCATTTTAATTAAAAGTTTGGGATAATGTTGGCACAGACTCTTGTGACATTGCCTTCTGTATCTACCAGCTGCAATATGCGCTACCAGATATTTTTCTGCAGTGCCTGATCTAGCTCTGAGTTCTAGTAATTCTCCCATCTGTTTCAAAATGACCTTGAAATGATTTTTAGGGCCTGGTGTTTTCCAGCCCTGAAAGTGGGATGAAGAGTAGTTCATTGCAGTTCCAGCCAATTTCAGTTGTGCTTGCACCTGGTACTGAATCTAGTCTGACAGATCTGAAAGTAGCAGTTGTCATTTGCAGAACTTCTTGCTTGTGAGCTTTTAGAGATGTTTGGAGATTGCTGTGTATTGTAGTCCTCTCCCAAAATACATAATGTGAGATTTCTACTCATAGCTGCTGTTGTTGAGAAGTGATTTCTCTATTTGGTATTCCAGCATTCTTCTTAGCTTTTATAATATATTATTTCTTGAAATTATCTGAATATTTACAGGGAAAAAGTATAAGGAGTAAGCATTTGTATGGCTGAAAACTGTCTTATGTTCAACAAGTATGAGTTGGTTTTAACCTGTTTGTGAGATAGCCTGCATGAATGTGTGTGTGCACTGTGTATGTTGGTGGAAAATACGTTGATTGAATTTTTTTTTGTCTCTGTATTAGACTGGCTGTGCTATTTTAGGCTAGAAGCCTTGATCTATGTGGGATTTGCCTAGTTTCAGAGAGTGTAAGTGCCTCATAGTTTAAATGGACATGCAGTATGAAAAGGTCAGAGGTGATAACAAAAACCAATTTTGTATGTATTTGACCTATAAACATGGCTCCATAATCCTCTGTTAGCACATCTGCCTGTGAAGTTAGCCACAGTTATTCCATTTCACTCCTGCTGACTACTGCACTGAGGAAAAAAAAGACTCTCAGTTGATAATTTGATGACTAAATGTTTGAATGTTAACTTTGTCAAAAACTTGTATTTACAGCTGAGTCATCCTAACTTTGTCCCAAACAGATCTGATTTTCTCCCTTCCCCATACTTTATTCCCCATCAGAAAAGGCTTCATGAGTCTTACTATGTGTGGTTTTAGATCTCTTCATGGTTTCTTAAAAACAGTGGAGCTTGTGTGTGACACCCTCCTGGGCCTTAAGGAAGAAGCAATTGGTTTAGAAAGCAGAGGGACAGTTCACTGAGATATGTGAAGCTCTTAGTAACGTGGTATGACCTCATAGCTGATCCTGCTTTCAGCAGGGAGTGGGGGCCTCCAAAGGCTGTTTCCAATGTGGATGAGCCTGGTGGGGAGGAGTGGAGTGTAGGATGAACACAGAAAGCTTGAAACAGAAGACGGATTCAGAGGACAATTTAGTTGAATGATAGTCAAAACAGGCTAGCTATGAATGTATTCTCTTTAGTGTTCTGTACTTTGGGATTTCACTTCTGTCTAGGTTCGTCAAGTGAGGCTTGTCGAATGGTGAAGGAGACATGACTGGGATAAAACTTACAATCAGAAAAAGCAGGTTAGAAGAGTAGGGATCAGTAGAACTGAGGCTGGTAATTGAAAGTATGTAATGCAGCAACAGTATGTGAAAGGGAAAAGGGAAGACAAGAATAAACTTCTGAGACACTCCTAAGGTACAGAAAAACATCAAAAGTGATCTGTCTTAATAATGTTACTATGTTAATATTACTGATGAATACCTAGGTTTCCTGTGATGATTTTAATCAGGATATGTCTGTATACTCTTACTATACTTATCTATCTGTAAACAGATCTCTGTCTCAGGCCATGTTTTGTGTATATAAAAACTAGCTAGAGATGATGAACAGTGGCAAAAGGTGATTCTACAAGTATACTAATAGAAAAAGCAACTTAAGAAAAAATGCAAGTTCTTTGACAAAAGGAGGAATCAAACCTGTGATGGGCACTATACACAGTACAGGAGTATTCAATGCCTTTTTTCCTTTTTTTTTCTTTACCTCAAGTGTCCAAGAGCAAAGCCTGCTCTCAGACCCTTTTGTGTGCCAGTACACTATTGTAAAAGTGGCAGAGCAATGAGTTAGGGACATCTTTAAGACACTGTGTATAAATGGGATATGCTCAGACCCTTGTAAAGATTTCAGTGATGTGATTGCAAGGCTTCTGACTGTCATCTGTGAAAAATCATAGTGGTAAGGGGAAATTTCTGACAACTAAATAATGGCACTAAAAGGAAAGCTGAGGGATCTGTAGACCTGTCAGCCTCTCACCTCAGCCCCTTGAGAAGTTAACAACTACCTCCTCTTGGAATCCATATCCAAATGAGTGGATTGTATGTGATGGGTCAGTCAGAAAGCCAGCATGGATTAAGCAAAGGCGAAACATGCATGATGAACCTGATTGCCTTCTGTGATGAAATGACTCTGGCTGTGTGCATGAGGTTGCTACAGTCAATGCAGTAAGACTTTCAGCTTTGTTTCCTACAATGTTCTTAAGTAGGAGCTGAGGAAATACAGCCTGAATAAGAGGATTGCTGGGTGGGTTAAAAGCTGGATGGGCTGCTGCAGTTTCAGTAGTCAGAGGCTCAGTGTTCTGGTTGTCGTAGCTGTTAACTGTTACCAAGGAGAGTGTCCTTGGAACTGCTGCCAGGGCTGATACTGTTTTGGAGTCTTCAGTAGCGACTGGAATGATGAGACAGAGTGTGCCCTCAGCAGATTTGTAGGTGACAGTGAATTTGAGTGAATGGTTGATAAATTGCATATTAGAAGTCCAGTCTAGACACATATTGATAAATTAGAGGATTTAGCCAACAGAAACTTAACAAAAATTAATGAAGAAAAGTTCTGTAAGGTAATCCCATGCATTAGTAAAGATTAGAAACCAACTTGCTGCGTAGTAGCCTAACTTAAAAGGACTAGGGTTATGGGTTATGCTGGATACTAAGATGAATGGAATGGAGTTTGTCACAGACAAATGTCATAACATGTCCAAGCAGATATCTTAATGCATTTCAGTGTGTTGGAATTCTCTTTAAAACTCGTTATTGTAATTTGGACCGAAGTAACGTAGAACAAGGGGGGGGGGGGAATCCATGGTACTTTACCTGGGATATGCAAAAAACAAACCTGTGGCTGCCATATTTTTCAGTATTTAAGGAGGACAGAACTGGGTAATACAATAGAAGCATGGCTGTTTCAATGTCTGCAGATGTGAGCCTTTTACTGTATGCTATTGCACATTTATTTCCATAATGTTAAGTGTTTTGATACGAATCAGAACAATGCATTAAAATATTATCGGCAAGTAGAGTTCTTAATCTAAACAAGAGATATCAAATATGCCTGGTGTTACAAATTAATTAGCTTTTAGCTAAGGATCATCCATATTTTCATTTATTTGAAGGTTTCTGGACTCACAGTAAGATGCTTGCATTCCAACTTACCCTGTTACTAATGGATTCATGACTTTTGTTTTTAATTGCACTGCACTATTTGGTGGCAGATTGTAGCATATGGATGGCACACAGTCTATTGCACTCATGAAAAGGATAGGGAAGATAAAATTAAATTAATGAGGATATGTTACTACAAGAGCAATAGATCAGTTGAGAGGTGCTGAATTAAAAAGAGTAATATTGGAGTTGAAAGGGAAATCTGGGCTGAGGAAGCTGAAAACCCTGCTGGGATCCTGGGCAGATAGTCTTCCCGACTTCACCTTATCTGGGTAAAGACAAGGAATCTTTCCAACCTTCTTGGTCCCTCTTCCTCAGACAAATGTTCTGTGTTCTGTCTATCTAAACAAATAATAAAGCATATGCACTGTAGTATTTCTGGAAATTCTGTTGAGTGAGGAGGAAGGAATAATGCTGATACGTTTGTAACAAGAATTACCTGATACTTGTGTAGTATTTTTCCATTTAAAAAATTGTTTAGCACAGGAACAAATAATTACGAATATTTAATAAATATTAATATATTTAATCAATAATTAATATTTATTCATTGTTCATGCCTTAATCATTGCTTCTTGGAGTTTTATTTCAGCCTTGATCTAGCAAGAAGCCCATCAAGGAAAAAAAACACTAAAACGCATGTTTAATTTGCCTGAATAAGGAAAAAAGAAGTGACTAAAGTAATAAGCTGGCAGTTGCAACTTGTCATGGCAAACAGAAAACACATCTCTCATCAGTCTAAATGCAATAATTTGTACAATTGTTATATTCTGATAGGAGTGGGATGTTTCCACACTGCTGTCAGATTCTTAGCTGATATAAATTGACCTCAAATGTACTCCTCCTAGGATCTGACATGTTATTGACCAGAATATAATTGAGAATTGCTGGGTCTTGTACTAATGTTAATTTTTGTTCCCTGTAATGTACACATTCCTTCTTAGAAAAAAAGATTTGTTTATTCTTTCTCTCCTCTCACTTCATCAGGTAAACCCAGAGCACTGAATTTCTTAGTACACAATTTAAAAATCCCTCCTTTTTATGTTCTGAGCTAGTTGACTTCATTAAGTATTTCCTCTCCTGCACATTTGTAAATGCTATTTATCACTGAAACCTTAGGGGAAGTCACTGTTTGCTGCCTTTCAAGAAGTACTGGACATAGCTCCGTCTGGTTCAGTGATCAGCTGTTCTTTTTTTTTTTTCTCCTTTTCCTAAAGCTTTTTGCTTTATTGCTTTGTTTTGTTTAGAGAACTATGAAAGCCTTTCATTCCATAAGGCTCTAGTTAGCAGATTACATAGCTGAAATTGCAGAATATTAGACATTCCACAGAGATGAAGGGTAGTCTAAAAGAGCATGTTGTCAGAATGAAGCCAGTAATCTTCAATCTTGTGTTACCTTTTATAATTGCATTTATATTGACATGTTCAGCAAACACATTCATATGCTTGACAATTGATGGAGTACCATGTATCAAGGTAATTGGTAGATAGTACATATCAGTCTTGTTTTCAGATTGTGACTCCACTCTGCTTGGAAGGAATGTCATGCAAAATGTATTGCCACAAGTTCTTTTGTAATCTATGAGGAGTCTTTTGATTATGTATGTTTGTTTTTTTCATTGCTAATCGGAAGAAAAGGCTAAGAAAAGTGCTATAATTTAATGGTGAATTTTGAATCTGCCTAGTTTTGAGAATGAGTTTTATTGCTCAGACACTGGAACCCATAGATGCTGAGAGTGAGAAGAACACATTGCTGTGTCATATGGCCGGTACTTGCCTGTAAGAAATGACATCATAGACCTTGGGGAAACTTTAATTCACAGCAAAAGACTGTTGCAAAACTTTGCCATTTATCATTGTACGGTCTGTTGACGGGGATATCCTCGGGTTTTTGCAAGTGGTCATTGTAAGTCACATGAGGCCCTCTACTGGTAGTCATTTTAAAATAGATCAAGGTAAGATTTAAAAAATGTTAAAAGAAAGATGAAAGATTGCAATGAAGCTGTCTTAAACTTCTAGGTTATCTCGTGTAGTTCAATTGTTGTGGATTAAGCAATCAGTAGTCACTCTTTAAATGTGATTGATATGATCCACGGTATTGCACAAACGACAATTTTTAGCAGTTAAAATATTTCATGTGTGTATTTTTCACATACTGTCATTTAGAAACCGTGTTCTGTGATGAAGGGTTTTTTTCAGCTATTCTTGTTCTTGTCATGTTTTTACTAGGTGTACATTCCAAGCAGAGTGGCTATCGTGCTTCAGAATGTGGATGTCCCAAAAGGAAGCTCTCTGTAACTGTCACTGAAGAAGCAAGTCTTAGAAGAAGTGCTGATATCCTGGGCTTGCACTAAGCATAACAAAACTTTCTGAAACTGAGTATAGTAATATTGGGTGTTTAAAATGTAAGATTAATATTCACATGTAATTGCAGAGTTCTTGACTTGCTAGAACCTCTTGAGGAAATATTACAAAAGAGAAAGGAAAACATGGGGTTTGTAGTTCTAGTAGTACAAAATTACACTTCAGATATTGTGAAGCAGCAGGTATTCTCAATTAAATTTTTGTTTACAGAAGAGTGATCCTGCTCTGAAGTTTGTAATTTCTTGTAAGCCTCATTTTGATAGTGAATTCAAATGTTCATTATATATTAATGCTTCTTACTAAAAGTAAGTAGTTTGCTTAAATAAAATAGAAGTTTTTGGCTAAAAGGCAGCCTTAACGGTTTGAGGGACCTAATTTTGAGGCTCCTCTTCTTCAGTGAAGTCCAACATGGAATTAGAAATGTTTATGCAAATAGATGAGAAGGTCCTCTGAGAGTATAGTACTTTGCCATTGTTTTATTTAACTAAAATTGCACAAAAAATGCTGAACAGCAAAATGGGCAGGTCAATTGACTGGTGACCTGCTGATGCTATTGTGTGTGTTGCTTATTTGCTCCTAATCAAATCACTTAGTCTGTGTATTTCACTTGCTGCAGCTGGAAAAAGAGATGACTATTTTATATAGTTGACTAAAATGTTCAGTGAAAAGAGTGTTTTGTTCATACTTCAATGATACCACCACACTGGAAGATGTATTGAAAATGTAATTCTTCCTATTGCATTTATTTCACTAATGTCAGGACCTTGCAATACTGATTTCACTATTTCCAGAAGCTGCCTTTCAGCTTGGAACATGATGATGTTCTTGCACTTTTATAACTTTTTGACACATTGCTTCTCATGAAGAAGCAGTCTCAAAATACGGTGATCAAACTAAGGTGGGTTTTTTTCGATAAAATCAAGGTGGTTCATTATTGAAGTGCTGCTAAGATTATTTAAGTGAGTTCCTTCATGAGCTGAAACTTTTTGTAAAGAGTAAGATTTTGTATATTTGAAAATATATTGCAGAGTCTTCTGGAAAATTAATACCAAATTAATGAGACATGCTTTATTTTGTTCCATTTATTTAAAAAAACATATTGGAATTGGTTCTGAAATGAATGTCTTTTGTACAAATCTGAATTTTCTAACTTTTAAAGTAGCCAAAGAGGAAGATGTCCGTGACCATTTCTAAGTCATAATTTTACCCAGTTTCCTATGTGAACCATTGTGTAAATTACTGAATAGTTGCACCAATACTGAAAATGTCTTCACAGTTCTTGGAATGCTTACTTGTGGCTTACCTCTTAAGCAAAATAAATGATGGAATAATGCAGCATGATACAAAACAGTCTTTTGCAGAGTTCTCACTGAAAGGACTTTAGGAACATCCCCAGTCTGCTATGTTGTGTGACAAAGAAGTTTATATTCCAGTCATGACACTGTTTAGGATCATGCTTCATTTTCCTCTACACCAGTTTGATCATTGTTTGGTAGTGAGCTAATAAAAGCATTCCCGTTACACTAAGACTTTAAAGAGAAGATACTGAACTGTTTTAGCAACTGGAACTGATTCTTTTTTCCCCCTAGATTGTTTTCTTATAGTGAAATAACGAGCAACTTCTAATACATGTTATATTTACATTGTATTGATCTAATATGTTTATAGGGTGGTTTGTTTTTTTCCTGGCACCAGTTCCAGGTTTCAAACTGTAATGCAAGGCAAGTGTCTGTGTCAAACCCGTTTTTCAAGAGAAGGAATAAATGTATGATGTGAAGTACAAACTGAGTAACAAATTACATGCAAAATAAACTCTGAGGAGGATAAAGCAAATGCATGTATGGTTTCATTGCTTATGTTGCAAAAGGATTGTATGGTACTGTTAACACTGGAGGAGAGTATTAAATTTTGCTCCATCTTGGTCAGAAACAGTCTGATGAGATTGGAAGAATATTTGTCCTATGCACATTTTTCTTTTATGTAGTGACAGATTAAGAAAAGCAGGCTACAAGGTTTCCAAGATGAGCACATAAGTATAGGAAGCATTATAATTAGGGCTTTTTTGGAGTCCACCTCTACATTCTAACAGTGGATGTGCTCCTTGGCTAGAAAATTTTCCCTTGCAATACCCATGGAAAGACAATTTCTTCCTCCTGCTCTTTGAATTCTGATGGGTTATAAAGAGGAATTCAGTTACTGCCATTTCTCTTGTCTAGCATCACACTCAAATGGCAAAACTTCAGCCAAGGTTCTCCCTTACTGTTATGTACTGAGGCTTGTAGCTGCCTGTCACCATGACTGGTTGAAGCTTCAGACGTGTTTGAGAAGCACATGAGCTCCAGGGTGTTTTTACTTGAATGCACCCTAATCAGCACTCTTCAGTCAAACATGATAGCGTACCTCTGTCACAGAAGTAAATTAAGTGGTCCATGGTGGTTTATGCCTGGCACAAAGCTCTCCACAGAGATTTGGACATCATGGAAGAACTCTTTTTAAAGATAATATCTCTTAGTGTAAAGGACTGATAAGTATTTATATTCATACACTAAGGAAGATATACTTGTCACTTGAAATTTCGAGTACTGGTAATTCTTGGTAGCTCTGGGCCCAGAAATTGTTGCTCCACAGCCTCTCACAGTCAATGAGAATTCAAGTTCATCCTCACCTTTATCTAAAGATTCAGGCTGACTTTCCCTCCATCTTGCATCGTGTGTGCTGAATGAGTTTTGTACTGAATAATTCAAGTTCTTCTCCAGACCAGGTTTTCTTAATGATAACATGCAGGCATCCATCAAACTCGTGTATTCTATGAGAAATAAGTTTTGATTTCCTTGCTGATTTCCTCCCACAATTCAAACCTTACTGTCCCAAGCTTTATTTTGAAGATAAATGGAGTGGTTCTTTCAGCTTGGTGAGTACTTTTGGAAAACATATTTTAATAGAAAAGCTGTTTGACCTTTCTGTTGTTTTCTCATAAGAAATTTGTCTTGCTTGTTATGTTCAGGTTAGCAAAGAGTTTGTTAACCACGTGCTCTAGAAGATGGGAGTGTGGTGCAGCTAATCCTCTGACAAAGGGAGACCAGGTATATGAACAGTAAGATACCAGACTAGGTGAGCGATTGTATGGTACTCAGATGTAAGGCAAGGTGTTATGTTTCCATATTCATCTGTCAGCCACAGTCCAGATCTCAAAAGTAACTTTGCTTTTTAAGTAGCGAAAGGTGAGGGCCAACTGAATGAATGGCAGAAATTGAATTCCTTTTAACTTAAATAAATGTGTGGATATGTTGAGCTCTGTGATCTGCCTTTTGCACCATAATTTAACTTTCTGATCAATTACTCAGCATTTAAGAGTTTCCTCATTGACTAATATTTCCAAACTGGTCCTGTTGTCATTGCTGGAGGACTGCTACAGAGATGGAGCAGTACTTTGTATATTTTCATGCATCATTCTGTAGCTAGGATCCAAGTTTCATAAAAGTCAGCCTAAAAATGGCATCTCCATAACAATTAATGGGAAGTTTTTTTGCCAAGGAAGGCTGCATGCGTGTGTGTTTTCACACCTCATAGGAAATGGTGTGGGTGTTTTGAAAGGGATGAGGGACAGCGGTTATTTGCTGTAATGGAGAGCTGTCTCTTACGCTCAATATATGTTTTAATTCTGTCTAGATTTTGAGATTATTTAGAGTTGTATCCAAATTCTTGAGGAGAGAAATGGCATCTTTCTGAACATTTTATGAACATTTTAAAAAAGGAAAACTCCAAAGTTTTGGTCATGTTTGCCTTTACTTATAGAGAGAATGAGGGGGGTTGGGTCCTTTTTCTTGCAATATTTCCTTTATGTAGGCTTTTTCATTTTTGCTTTACCTAAAAATAAGTTTCAGAAGTACTGATAGGCTGTCATATGACTGCTGTTATTAAAAAGAATTGTACACATTGTTGGGTAAAAATAACTCCAGTTGAATACGTTAAAAATACCCTGCTTATGGAAAGGTAGAAACAAAAGCTAATGATGATTCATTAGCTGAGACAAATCATGTTTTTCATGCCTGTGAATACAATATGTAAACTGTAAACATAAATAACTCTTGGATATTCATGGTAAATTAAAGCTTAAAATTAATTAAGAAAAAGCATAAGAACTTGCAGGCATTGAAATAATATCTCACCTTAGTTGATAGTTTTGCGTATTTACAGAGCTATTCTTAACCCTAAAAACAATATCTGAATGTTTAATTGAACTAGCTTGGAAACTGTCTTCTAAAGTTAGGACAAAGACAATAATTTTGCAGCATGTTAAAGGAAGATTAAAGTTGATACAGCACTAATCACCCATGCCATTGAACTCCAAGATAATCTTCAGCATTGTTAAAAGCTAAGAGGGAACTCCCTCCAAACTTACTTGTTTCTTGTGACTCTGACTCACAAATCACAATTTAAATGTATAGAGCAAGGACAGTCAAAGATTCTATGATGTAAATTGAATGCTTTGAATATTTAGTCTTTGCTCAGAGTATGAGGCTTATGACAAAATAGATACAGTGCATTTAGGAAGAAAGGTGGGTCTGCAAATACTGAAGAAACTGGGAGGGACACTTCATTAGGGACTGTAGTGATAGGACAAGGGGTGATGGGTTCAAACTGAAACAGAGGAAGTTCAGGAAGAAGTTCTTTACTGTAAGGGTGGTGAAGCACTGGAATGGGTTGCCCAGGGAAGCTGTGAATGCTCCATCCCTGGAGGTGTTTAGGCCAGGTTGGACAGAGCCCTGGGTGATGGTTTAGTGTGAGGTGTCCCTGCCCATGGCAGGGGGGTTGGAACTGAATGATCTTAAGGTTCTTTCCAACCCTAACCATTCTATGATTCTATAAATGCTATAATATTGTAGTGTTTTCCTCATAACAGTTTTTGTTCTGCTACTTTGCAGTAGTCTGCTTGAGTCTTTGTAGCAAAGAAACCAACTCTGGTCTATTTTCTGTGCTCTTTACTGGAGACAGAGACTGGGGAC